CAGTGTTTCTGCAGAAGCTGGGAAAATATATATAGTTAATGGAAGGAACGACAACAGAGGTTATGCAGCTAAATCTGAATATTTCAAACATATTTAGGACAATGGAAAATCAATCAGTGGATGATGCTTCTGTTTACGAAGTTTTATTTGTGCCGTCTACTATCCTTGAGCTTTTCATTTAATTTATTAAATGAATGGTGCGACTTTCATGCAACAAAAAATTAAAACTTAAATATTACATTTTAGGTTCGTTCACGTTTCCTGGACAAAAATGTAACGAGGCGACCTTTTCTAGTGTTTTATATTTTCTGCAGCTGTTATTTTGATGTCATGTAAGTAACATAAGGTTTGTGTAGTTCACTGTGAGTGAGAAATACACCTCATCGACTTTATCTACAGCATACTATATGAACTGCTCCCCTATATCTATAAGGCTTTGTTTGGTTTGCACAAAATCATCTACCATTTCAAAGAACGTAGATTAGGTTCTTTGAAAACTAATCTACGTTAGGTACATTAGGTTTCAAAATTAGGCAGGAAAACCTACGGCTAATTTTGATTAACAGAAAGAAAAGATTGTAGATTGGTGAGGTAATCTTTTGTAAAAGAGCTAATAAAAAAAAATTAAAAAAAATAGAAAAAGGTGAACTTTTAGTTGGACTTGCAGACTAAATTAGAAGGTGTTTTTATCTGAACATAACTAAGAGTTAACTATAATTTATTAATCTCTGCTTACAACATGTTATCTTACGTTCAGTTTTCTCCAATCCGCCTTACTTGCAACATGAAAAACAAGTTTACAAATAACCAGCCATAAATGATTGACAGTAAATAGTTAGCTAGTAAATGTATGCATCTTTGGTGGAAAGGGGAAGTTTAGTAATCAGAACACTGAAGTACTTTTTCCATTTTAGCCTTGATTAACAGATTTTACATTTTGGGGCATTTTGTTTTAACAATACATAACATGTAGTAAGAAGGGGTTGGAACAAGTTAAATCATTAACAAGTTGTTGCACAGGTAGTGTATAAAGTCTGTCTGTTCAGCTAACTCTTAATCTGTAGGAACATTTCAGTAATGTAGAATATTAGCAAAAATCTATAAAGAGGGTTCTGCCGATCAGTTGTTGGAAACTTAAGTGGAAGGAAACCAGCTGTAGAAAAAGTTGCACATTCCACAGTTTGGTGGAGGTCTATGCTTCTTTCTTTAAGTGCTTCTTTAAGTGCTTTAAGGCACTGAATTTTAAATAGGGTCGAAGCCATTTCAGAAGCTTAATCTTAGCCTGCATCATTTATTCCAACAGCAATTTTGATGTGTATTTGGAATCATCATCGAGTTGTAACACCCAGTTGTATCCCAGCTTTATCGATTTGATTTGAGGTGGGGTTGAAGAATTTGTACCCAGTCTTCCTCTATTATTCCACCACTTTGTTTGATGCAGAATTGTCACTTGTACCAAAACAGACCATCAGAATAATGCTGCCATTACCATGCTTTTTGCATAATGTATTTGGCTTCTTTGTGGAAGTAGCCAAATATCCTTATAAACAGGAGTTGGTTTTGAAGCAGGGGGCTCTTTCTGGGTCGCTATCTTAGCTTCTTGTTGATTGTAAACTCGTCCCGGATCTGAATTTTGGCTTTGCAATAGATGTAAGCCACATCACAAATTTTACTAAAAATGAGCGCTTAAAACATCACATTGTGTAAGAAATCTGAATATAATAGTTTCGCTTTCTAAATTTAACCACTGAAATATATAAAATGCTGAATTCCATTCATTTTTTTTTAGATATGCCTACATTTCTCGACCTCTTTAAAAGTACATTATAGGACAAGAAATCAATGACTAATAAAATGAGAGTCCACGTAAAACTCATATTGTACTATTACTGAAGTCTTACACAAACATGTTTATTTTTAGCTTATTTTATTATAGGTATATCCTATGGGTATATATTACCGCCACTCCCTCTTTTCCTCCCCCCGCCTTAAACAACTGAGTCTTATCCGGCTACTTACAGCGTGGTTCCCCGGTGAGTGCTGTTTGAAGGTGGTAGAGAGGGAAATCGGCGGTACTACAGCCATCGATGACCACTGCTCCGGCTCCTGGCCGATGTGTATGGCATCTGTGGCGAAAGATTTAAAAGCCGTGCGGAAGCCAGCGAACAAATCGCCAGCCTCATGTTTATTTGACTGGGCCATAACCGTGAGCTTCTCTGATTCACCCGGACACACTGAACTCAAGATGAGTGCGCATTACCGTTTAACGGCAAAAGGGAAATACTATTTTATGGGGCTGTTCCACAAGCTCGTCCTTTGCAGCCAATCAGCGCTCATCAGCATGTAGAGCGAGGCGCTGATTGGCTGTAGCGCCGGGGGTGTCCGGCGTTTGTTACGACAGCACGTTGTTTGCTTTCCTGTCTGCCCTGCCGCTGTGATGCAATGAATCTTGTTTTTGAATCAGGTTAAAAGTTTAGTTGTCTCTTGTGAATAACGAGTTCATTTGAATTCAGTTCTGTGATTTTACAACTATGTCATCTCCAGAAAATATTTCAGACCGTAAAAAGGCAAGTTCTTGAAGGAATAAAGGCAGCCCACACCAACAAATCAAAGAAGTTTGTAAACCTTTACGCATGTTTCTCCATAAATTACCATTTTGTGTTTATTTGTAAGCCACTACCATAGCAGCTGTTGACGTTGCTGAAAAGATACGTAGAATTTGGTGGATTGTTCCTTTTCAAGCTTGGGAAAGAGACAGTAACTCGAAGTGCACTTCCCTGTTTGAACCACATGGGGTAGACGTGCACCGTATTGACTTTCACTGATAACAGAAATCTAGCAGGACTAAGTGTAGTAGTGTCCTGCGGAAGTGTTCATACTACGTAAATGTTTCCACTTTTTTACGTTACGAGCCCTGGCACCAATTTATTTTATTGCTTTTTAATAAAATAGACCAACAAAACATACTGAGCCATAACAAAGTGCATTGCATTTCCATTTGGTTGTTTAAAAATGGTCAGATTATCAGCATGCATCGTCTACATCTAAGCAGATCGCAGAATGGGTTAAGAACTGTCAAATGCTTTATTAGAAACTGGAGGAAAAATGGGGAACCACTGCTTTCAAAGAACAAATGTAGTCAGATTACAACATTTGGGGAGATGAAATTGGAGAAAGAAAAACACTGTAACGAAATGCAGTATGAACTACATTCATTATTAATAAGGTGGCTAAATTTTGAAAATGCAGCTTCTTGCTGTGAAAAGAAATGTGTCTGGAAAGAATATGTGATCTGATCAAACTGCTGGATCACATCCATAACTGTACCTTAATTTTTTAATGCACAGTTGCATTGTGGGATGTTAATTGGTTGGCAGCAAATGTTTGAATTCACAGCTATGTTTAATAGAGAAAGTAAGCGCATATGCGCACACACATTGTGAAGGGAACTCGAGGGATTGGGACTGAACAGCTGTGAAGTCATAAGAAAACAAATCAGAAAGGCTAACTGAAGAAAAAGGCTTCAGTTTGCAGGGGAGCATAAAGATTGGGCTTTGGGGCAATGGAAGACGACCATATGGTCTGATGAGTCCAGATTTACCCTCTTCCAAAGTAATGGTGCATCAGGGTAAGAAAGAAGGCGGATGAAGTGTTGCACACGTCATACCTAGTGTCCACTGCAGAAGCCTATGTGGGCAGTACTGTGATCTGAGATTGCTAGTTAGTCAGGTTCAGCAACATCATGATCCCAAAGAATGAGGTCAGCTGACTATCTGTACATTGAGCGACCAGTTTATCCCATCAATGGATTTAAATTCCTTGTTGGTGTGGACATATTCCTGTATGATAATGCTGGGATTCATTGCGCTCAAATTGAAAGAGAGATTGAGGGAGACACCATTTTCATTCACACAATAAAATATTAGAATGACCTATTTTGGTGATGGCTTTTTTGTTTTGGCCAAGCAGTGGACAAAACATTTTGTTCTATGTGAAATAACTCACTAGTCTCTGTTATTTGTCTAAAAATATAATACATAAATTAAAATTAATATACACAGTCATAAGGCAACATAAACTAGCCTCAATACAGTTTTTCCTGGTGTAAGTTTCAACTCTTGTGTGTTTGATACCACAACCTGTTTCTTAATCACCATCTCCTAATGTAAACAGATGACCTAAAGAATTTTCAAAAACCTATGTCCATTTGAAGTCAAGAATAGCTTGACTTTGAAGTCAAATTCAAAGTCGTTTGGGATTTACCTAGTCGAGCCTAAAGTCACCAAATTTGTGACTTGAGTCTGACTGGAGTCCATATCATGTATTTCTAGTCAAAATCATTTTTTTTGTGTGTCTCAATTATTATCAATATTTTTTGTTTGTTTGTTTTGATTGGATTTCACTGGTCATACAAGTTCAGTTCTGATTAAAAGCAAATAGGCTGAATTAATATTTTTTTTCTCTCCAAAATACAGTAGCCCACATTAGAAATATTGTACTATTTTATTTGTTTTTTTTTTATTTTTGCATTTTTATTTGCAAAGAGCCATAAACAGTGAGGCAGTGAGGAATTAATCAGCTACAATAAAGGGAAAAAATGTAAATGAATTCGTGCAGTTTAAGATGGTGGGTATTAATGGGAAAAAAATAGAAAAGAAATTGCACTTAATATATATATATATATATATATATATATATATATATATATATATATATATATATATAAACCCTCCTCATTATCTGTGAAGGGAATATGTTACCATATCTCCTTCATAGCAAAGATGTTCCTGATATTAGAGATTTTGTTTTTTGTCATTATCAAGACAATATAGATAATACAAAAATAAAACAAAGCGATGATTTGTGTCAGTAGTAAAACACACAGTATAAAATACAATATTTATTTTAAATCCGTGTTACATTAACAGTAACCTGAGATAATAACCGTTAGTAACCTTTTCTGAAGTCTCGCGATAGTTGAAAGCGGACTCTTTCGTACTAGTGAGACGCTTCTGTGTTGAGCAGCAACGACAGTTTAGGACGGCGGGAGGGGAGGGAGCAGTTTGTTTTGACAATAAACCGGTAAACAAAAGCTTCCGCTACTTCTTTCTTCAGAAAAGTGGCGTTTTTGCGTCTTTGGTGGACAGGTATTCGTTGAATTAAATGTTGTACGATTTCCAGCGTTTGCGTAAGGAGCTCCAGCCGGCGAATCGCATCAATTCGCCCGGAGGGTCATCGTCAGCGGCGACACCCTCTGCTCCGTCAGCCTGAACCGTTTAGAAAATGACCGGAGAGAAGCTCCGCTCCCTGCGTAAGGACCAGAGGCCGAGCAAGGACGAGGATCTGCTGGAACCGGACGAGGAAGCTGCCACCGGGACCTTCGCTGTCCCCAAGGCGAATAACAAGAGCAGGGCGAGTAAAATATTCAGCAACCACAAGTTAATCAAGTCACCGTCCACACAGTCGCAGAATAATGGTAACACCAATAACACTCTGGCAACATCGGATGTTATTGATGACAACAACAAAAACCCGATCATCAAACCGGGGCTGGACTTTCCGGTGCACGAATGTGTCTTTAAAGGAGATGTCCGACGGCTGTCTTCGCTCATCCGGACACAGAATATTGCCCAGAAGGACGTCCATGGTGAGCATACTTACTGCTTAAATTGTTAGATTCATAAAAACACCTGACGCAAACATTTTCTGGGTTTATTTTTGCTCATGTACCATCAGTTTTCATCAGCAGTAAAAGTAGGCGAGGCTTCTATTACGCAAGGCCTGAGTAACTCCTGACAGATCACTACTTTTAATCCACTTCTCTGGCATAACCTGAAAACGCACCAATTAGTCAGACAGCTATTGGAATCAGGTGATTTTGTTATTACAATGTTAAACAAACTCTGAAAAATCTGCTGGATTCCCCAATATATGCAACACAACTAACAATTGCAACCATTTTCTCTGTAGAAACCAGCCACCTACAGTATGTGCGCTGATGCACTCTAATTTAAAGAGCATACATTATCATTATTACAACATTCTTTTTTTTAAGCAATTTCTATTCCTGAAATCAAAAAATTATGCAGCAAAGCAAAAAAGAAAAACGGTGAGAACACAGTTGAAAGTTGCTAAAGAGTGAAAGAAACCACATCTGGACTGGAATTGAAGAAACAAAAATTCAGGCAACATTCCTGTATAAACTATACTTTCTGCTCTCTTTCTGAATTCATTGGAAGCAGCAGGAATTCTCAACATCAGTACATGTTTTGTTCAACTGAGGGTTTAACTGTGTTGGATTAACATAACTGTTAAAACGTCAACATGGTTGATCACTCCAGTTAAGCACAGTTTTCCTTGAAAAGTTACTTCATGCTAATGCTACTCATGTGGTGGTTGGAAGAAAAGTTAAAATCAGGCAGCAGCTGCAGTCCAACATCCACACACAGAGAAAAGATAAGTTGGAGCTGTAGGTCATTATCATAGTCAACCATGCAGGGAGGGATTCATTTATACTAGCATGATCCACAGACATCAGCAGATATTTTGTTCTGGTTGAGAACCCATTAGAAAATAAAAGCACCAGTCAAACGGAGCATTTTCTCAACTGAGAAACTTTATGCTCACAAACATGCTCACGAATGATCTATTTTATCATTGACTCCTTAGCCCATCTGTTGTAGCCTTTACAGTAATCTTGATATTTTTCATTAAAATGTCTTTTTTTCTTCTTTTTTTTTTGAAAACTATGACTGCTTTGTTAGATGTTTCAATAGTGGTTTGTTTTCACAGCTGTGTTAATTTGTAGTCTTTTTAACCGTGTTGCAATTTGACTTAATTTAGTCTTTGCAAAGACTTTTATCTGATTATTATAAATAGAAATAGTTTCTACCTCATCATCCATGTGTAATAAAATATCCATGTTTTTGGTAGGAGTGACTTCAAAGGTTCTGAAAAATGTGTTTTAAAATTATGTTTGCTTTGAAAACAATGGTAAGCCTTGTTATAATTTATTTCTTATAATTTCAAGAATTTTTTTCTACCTCTAAAACGTGGTACTACCTCTTTACTAAAATTTAGAAATTAGGGAAATATGCTTAAAATAGTTTTTTATAATCTTGTAATTCCTTTATTTATGTTGGGTTCAAAGCTAGCACCTCTGTCAAAGATCCTTTAGTACATTCTTTCTTTGTTATGTGCAGTGTTTTTTTGAAAAAAAAAAAAAAAAAAAAAAAAAAAAGACAAATCAGGAGAATTGTTACAAGAAAATGTAGCCAAAGAAAAATTTCTGAGAAACGCTGAAACAT